TCCTCATCCTCCAGCCTCTCGGTCATCTCCTTCACCTTGGCCTCCAGCTGGATCTTGTTCTTGATCAGCTGGTCGCAGCGCTCCTCTGCATCAGCCAGGTTATCTTGTTCCTGGGGCCAAGGTACAGAAAGGGAGGCTGGTCTAAGGACCTGTCCTTGTCCTCACAGGCGGCGGTGGAAGGGAGAGGTGCATCACCCAGATAGGAGGGGGACCCCAGCTTATTTTCAGGTGAGAAGAGCCTCAGGAAGGTAGGAAGGGGGGTTAGGATGGTATGACTTGGGAGCACTGGGTAGAGGCAGATTTAGGATGGTATGGCTTGGGAGCACTGGGGAGGGAGGATTTAGGATGGTATGGGTGGGAGCGCTGGGCAGAGGGGGATTTAGGATGGTATGGATGGGAGCACTGGGCAAAGGGGGATTTAGGATGGTATGGATGGGAGCACTGGGCAAAGGGGGATTTAGAATGGTATGGATGGGAGCACTGGGGAGGGGGATTTAGGATGGTATGGATGGGAGCACTGGGGAGGGAGGATTTAGGATGGTATGGCTTGGGAGCACTGAGGAGAGGAGCAGAGGAGGAAACACAAAGTCTTCACAGGGCTTCTAGTTTCCTTGCTTGAAGAAATTGCATTTGCTGACGTCACACACTGTGAATGTTAACCTATAAGACAGGCAGCTTGATTCCTGTCTAAGGATGAAGGAATTTAGGCTCAAGGAAGATTTATAGTTTCCCCTAGGACCAATCTCTCTGTGTCTCTCTCTGTCCATGTCTCTCTGTCTGTGTCTCTCTCTTTCTCTCTCTGTGTGTGTGGGGAGCTAACAAGGGCCGCGTGGCTCACCGCCTGCACTTGGAGCTGCAGGTCGTTCTTCTCCTGCAGCAGGGACACCATCTTCTCCTCCAGCTCCTTCCGCCGAGCCTCAGACTTCTCCAGCGCATCTTTGACTCGCCCAAACTCTTCCTTCATGTTGGCCATCTCCTTCTCCGTCTCCGCGCTCTTTAGCAGTGGCTTGATCTTGAAGTAGAGCTTCATCCATGGCCAATTCTTGACCCCCATGAAGGCCCGGATGTTCCACTGGATTATCAGCAGGGAGTCTCTGCAGGCACAGTGAGAGGAATGGTGTGAGAACCACCCCTGTTCCTTCCCATCTAAAACCCTTCGTCCTAGGTAAATCCCCCTTTCCTTTCCTATCTCACCCTCCCCGGGGCCTTCAAATGCTAAGGACCCTCTTGCGGTCATAAGGTCCCTTCCTAATGGTTTCTTCTGATGAGCCCACCAAGTCTTTCCCTTGACACTGTCGTTGGACCCCAGGAGAGCTAAGGACCTCCTTTGAAGTCCCCTCACCTGCGTTCCAGCAGCTTCTTGAACTCCATTCTGGAAAGCACACCTCGGGACTGGGCCTGGATTCTGGTGATGATGCGGCTCAGCCTCTCATCCCGCATCTCCTCCAGCAGCCCCAGCAGCCCCGCCTTGAAGAACACCTGTGGATAAGACACGTGTTGAGCATGACTAGGACAGGGTATGAGGGAGAAAAGGTGCATTTGGGGACAACTGAGGGAAGAATTGGAAGGAGGATGCCATGGGCAGTTGGAGATGGGATGGGAAAGTGGTTCTGGGAGTGGAGAAGTGCCATGTGCTTCAGATCTATCCTTTAGGATAATTGGTAATAGGGTGGGAGGAAAAGATGAAGAACCAAAGGAAAAGAGATGTCTTTAACTAATTTGTCTCTTTCCTTTCCTCACCTTGGTGTGGCCGAACTTGTACTGGTTGTGGTCAATGTCCAGGGAGCCCAGCAGCTTCTCGGCCCCTTTCCTGCTGTCAATGAATTGGCCCTCAGGGATGGCTGCTGGGTTCAGGATGCGGTACCTTGGGAGGGAAGTTCTCAGAGTCATTTGCATTCTGTGTGGGTCTGCTCTGCCTACAGAATTCCAGGGCCACCATAGACCCCCACACCCACCAAGTCAGCCCACCCCTGGCTTCCTGAGCCCTGGGGCACCCTTTACCCACCTCTGGCGGAAGTCCCCGTAAAGAATTCGGTTGGGGAAGCCCTTCCTGCAAATGCGGATGCCCTCCAGCACCCCGTTGCATCTCAGCTGGTGCATGACCAGGGGATTGTCCATCACCCCTGGGGCAGCAGGGGAGAAAAATGATTGGGGAGAGTGTTAGACTAACACCAAGGCCTCTGGGTTCCCATCCTGGCTCTGGCACACATTAGCTGGTTAATTTAGCAAGTCAACCTGTCAGTAAGGATTCTTCATTGGTTTCATTTTTCACCGTAGCCACACTTTTAATAGTAATCAAAAGATTTCCACATTTATCATTTTATATAATTTATCCTTATTATCATGTGGTTCCAGGACAGATCTATCTCACTTTCTAGGTGAGTGAGCTAAGGGATTAAGTGACTTGTAGAAGGTCACTGATCTTATCGAGATCTGAGCCAGGCTTTGAACCAAGATTCTCTGATACTTTGTTTCCTACGGTTTAAAAACAGATAGGTATTTCTTATATGCCTCATCAGGGGCTATAAGTCACACATGAGGTGATATCTATAAAAATGCCTTACACGTTACCATGAGGTATACATTCCCAACAGAAGGTAACACTGGGAGGGTGGTCTAGGAGAAGGACATGATTTGGAAACCAGCAAGGCTTGGAGATGACTTGGAAGGTCCTGTCTCTGAGACAGCGCAAGTCCAGTGTGAGATAGCTCATGATCAGGGCTCACCTGGAGACTTTGTCTCGTTGGGGATGATGCAGCGCACAAAGTGAGGGTGTGTGGAGCGCAAGTTTGTCATTAGTTTGTTCAGGTTTTCCTATGGCAGAAGAAGGGGGGAGAGAAATAAAAAGCCAGAAAGAAGAAGTAGGAAATGGAGAGGAGAGGACTGAACAGGGAGGATGGGGAGAATATGGGAAGCAAGGAGGCGAAATGATGTCCGGGAAAGACACAGGTGAGGAGAGAGGCTGATGGCAGATGAGAAATGAGAGAGGCATGTTGGGAAGCAAGATTCGAGGCTGGGAGATGAAGAAAGACACAGCCATGAAAAGGGTCCGAGTGAACCCAGGAAAACTGGCGTTGAGAGGAGCCGGGGACGTGCAAGGCAAGGAGCTGGGGCCGAGGGAGCAGAATGAATGGGGATCCGTGCTCGTGGGGCTGATCACACACTCACCCTGTGCAGAGCGGACACGGTCTGGAAGGATGAGCCTTTCTTCGCCTTGCCTTTGCCCTTGTCTGCAGCTGTGGGGAAGGGAGCCAAGGAAAGGGGCATTAGTGGGCATGTAGGGAGGCCGGGAGCAGGGGTGGAGCCTACAGCCTTCCTCACGTTTTGTCCTCATTTGGCGACCAGACAAAGGTTTTCTATGTGGCTGCTTCAATGTCCCCACCCAATTCCATCTCACTGAGTCTGTTCCATACACCTCAGGGCATACCATGACAGGGAAGCGGTGGTTTTGCAATTGCTGTGCCTCAGAATGACGACGGCATAAACCTTGGAGTGCCAGTGCCTGGGATACTTACGTGCATCTGCCCCAGCATAGTTGGCAAACAGATTGCTGAGCAGCTTCAGGGAGGACTTTTGGTACAAGCCCACCACGGTCTCATTGAGGGGGTCCTTGTTCTTCTGTAGCCAGCCCAGGATGTTGTAGTCCACGGTGCCCGCGTAGTGCACCAACGAGAAGTGGGCTTCCTGCTTCCCCTTGACATTGCGAGGCTTCTGGAAGTTGTTGGACTTGCCCAGGTGGTTGTCATACAGCTTGGCCTTGAAGGTCATGTCTGTGGCCTTGGGGAACATGCACTCCTCCTCCAGGATGGACATGATGCCCATGGGCTGAGAGTGTAGGGAGAGAACCGTTGAGTAAGTTTCACTTGGGTACACATGTATTCTTCTCTATGTGAGTATTGACTCATACATGCCTGTAGGGTATTAAGAAACTAGGCTCAGCTCAAGGAGAGCAGCTATCTACTGTTTGACCCCTGTAAGCCTTCCACAGGTGGGGATTTTGTTGATGTCAGGGGGACTTTTTTTTTTTTTTTTTTTTGCAAGTCTGGGTTTGTGACTATTACCGGTGCCTTTAACATCCTTCATCACCCAGATCCCTGTGACGCTGAGGTTAAAAATAGGTGCACTCTTACGACTCCCATTCCACCTTCGCATTTCCCGATCCTTGGGTGCGTGTAACCCAGGGCCGGTAAACATGCCAGTGGGGAAGGCCAGTCTCCAGATGCCCATCCTTCATGTGGCCGATCTCAAGCCCCTGGGTGGGACACAGCCATGGGTGGGAACACAGCTATCGGCTCTCTGCCATGGACATCCGGGACGACACAGACCTCTGCAAAATAGAGCCCCTCTTCTGATACTTAGCCTGAATTCACCAGAAGGGACATGAGCCACCACCTTATCTGGAGTTCTGGAGTGTTCACGTGGGGTATAGATGGAAGGCTCGGGTAGTGGAGACCGGACACACCTTCTCAATGAGGTCGATGCAGGCCTGCAGGTCCATGCCGAAGTCGATGAACGTCCACTCGATGCCCTCCTTCTTGTACTCCTCCTGCTCCAGCACAAACATGTGGTGATTGAAGAACTGCTGCAGCTTCTCGTTGGTGAAGTTGATGCACAGCTGCTCGAAGCTGTTGAACTGGAGGGTGTGGCAGCCGGTCAGGCTGACTGAGGGTCTGAGTGGCCATCAGGCTCAGCCTAGGGCTGTGCCACACACCTGCCCGAGCCCAGCACAGGCATGGCTGGTCCCCTCCCAGGTCATGACAGGGACAGGAGAGCCTCTCCTGAGGGCAGGGACAGGGATTGCCTGTCACTCCACGATCCCCACTGCCATCCCGTGCCTGGCCCACGGCTGGCCCTCCTCCACATGGGACTGAAGGTGTGAGTGAGTGGGTGAGGGACCAGTGGGGTCCCAGGCCAGGGCTGCCAGACTCACATCGAAGATCTCAAAGCCGGCGATGTCCAGGACACCTATGAAGTACTGGCGTGGCTGCTTGGTCTCCAGGGTTGCGTTGATGCGGGTCACCATCCAGTTGAACATCTTCTCGTACACTGACTTGGCCAGTGCACCGATGGCGTATGACACCTGCAGGGTAGGGGAGAAATCCAGCCTAGCCGTGCTATTGGGAAGGATGAATTTGAAAGCTCGTACCCCACCCCGCCATGATCTCGCCTCCATTCGCTTGTCTCCCAAAGACAACCCACCTGCTGGACATTCTGCCCCTTGGTGACATACTCGTTGCCCACTTTGACCCGAGGGTGGCACAGCCCCTTGAGCAGGTCGGCTGAGTTCAGCCCCATGAGGTAGGCGGACTTGTCGGCCTCTGGAAGGAAAGGGCAGGTAGCAGAGTTAGTACAGGGATACACATTCTGCAGAGGTGGCCTTCAGACACCCCCAGTTTCCTTGCTCCCCACCTTCGGTGCCGTCCGGCTCCGCCTGCTCCTCCCGCTGCTTCTGCTTGAACTTCATGTTTCCAAAGTGCATGATGGCGCCCGTCAGCTTGTAGATGGAGTTCTTCTCTTCTGGAGTGAAGCCCAGCACGTCAAAGGCGCTCTGTAAGCAGGTCCCATATCAGTGAATCCGGAAAAAGAAACCTGACTGGTTAATGAGATTCCTCATACGCTGGAGAGAGAACTTGAATGTGTGTCTCCCTAGTCCCTGTACAGTATGTGATTCCCACACCCAGAGAGGGACTCGAACCCAAGACAGACAGTACAGGATCAGGACCCTGCTTATCACTGTCCACTGTTAACGGTCATAGCTGTTCTCCATAGCTGCTGTGGGCTACCCATCTACGTTCACAGCCTTTCCACTCACTTTCCTGCCCAGGTTTTCATACCTGTGTGCATCTCTCCTCTACCCACAGCTTCTTCCAGCCCCACGGGGTCTAGATGATTCTCCTTCCTGCTTCTCCTGTGGTATTACTTTGTTCCTTGCCCTTCCTATCTCTCTGTCCATGGTTCTCGGCACTCTGTGGTTTGATAACACCAAATACTGGCCACTCTCCTGTTCCATTGCATGCATCTCAGCACACCCTGTTCACAGGGCACATGCCAGCTCTCGAGGAGGGTTGTACTGCTTTAAAAATCAGATAGCTAGTGTCCCTTGGCTCTGTTCCTGAGCTGGCACCATGTGCCACCCTACCTGTCCACCCTCTGGCTGAGTCCTCACATACTTACATCAGTGGCCATGAGCTCTTCAGAGTCATCAATTGAGGCCACAGTGGTCTCTCCTTGGGAGATGAATGCGTAATCGTAGGGGTTGTTGGTGATCAGCAGCATGTCTAAGAGTGGGAGGATTTAGTTCAGTTGTGCCATGACCCCTGGCTATCATGGGGGCTCTAGCACATGGGCCCAGGGGAAGGCTCAGTCAGGGTTGGACTTGACCCACAAAACTGATTCTAGCAGTATCAGAAGGCCCAAGGCATACCGACAGAATCCAGCCACAAGCAGAGTGGACTGGGTTGCCATAGAAATAGCTGGTCTCAGTCTGACTCACCTAGAAGCTCGGGCTTTTTATTTGACAGGATTTGGTAGAAAATGTGATAATCTCTTTCTGCTTTCAACTGGAAAATAACCCTGGATTTTTCCAGAAGGTCTGTGAACAGGCAGATAGAAGGAGAGGAATGAAAGGTTGGAATGTGAGTACCCAGAAATAAAGGAAAAGGGATGAGGAATGTGGCAGGCAAAAGGCAGAGGAAGAGACTGACATGGATGCAGAGGTCACACATGAAGGTGGGGGTAGAGACCCAGGAAAGACAGCATCTTAGAGAAATCCCCAAGAAACGTGCGCTGGTACCCGAGAGAGAGGAAAAGCCTAAGGCAGACAAACACAGTCAGAAAGAGAAAGCAAAAATGGGTGCTGGGGGAGACATTGAGACCAGACCGTGTAGAACCAGGACAGGCTCATCCCTGGTAGACTCGTGGAACTTACAGGTCTCTATGTCCGCAGATGCCAACTTTCCAGTTGCCCCAAAATGGATCCGAATGAATTTCCCCTGAATAGATGGGTAGAAGAGGGTGGTAATAAGCCTGGGAAAGGCTCGCATTTGAGGCCAACCTTCAGTCAGCCCAAGTCCCGAGTTCAAGGTGGAGTATCACTCACAAATCGAGAGGAATTATCGTTCCGGACTGTCTTGGCATTGCCAAAGGCTTCCAGAGCGGGGTTGGCTTGGATGATTTGATCTTCCAGGGTACCCTGCAAGAGGTCATGAAGGATGAGGGCCGAAGACTTCCCACTCCATTTTTAGTAATGCAGGCCCATAGGTGCCAACAGGCCTACCTTGCCTGGGGTCTGATCCTTCTTGCTACGGTCCCCAATGGCAGCAATAACAGCAAAATACTGAATGACCCTCTTGGTGTTGACAGTCTTTCCAGCTCCGGATTCTCCGCTGTTGTGAAAAGCAAAGGGTCAACAGGCAGTAAATAATGCTGCTTAAGATCAAGAAGGCTCGGCCGGGCGGTGGTGGCGCACGCCTTTAATCCCAGCACTCGGGAGGCAGAG